TTTTTTTTTGGACAGAAAAATTTTGAACAAAATGATATCATTTAAGCGGTGGATACTTGAATAATGGAATAGTAATTGGTGTGATCAGTAATTGATCAGAGCAGAGGTCCGATCAATCCTGGATATTTGGAATATTGGAAGTGATTGAAGGAAACGATTTTCAGTAAGAATTGTCAATGAAAGATTGTAAAACGAATTATGGAAAATTGCCATTTGTAGCAATAATGTTGAAGAAAATATTTAAGGAACCAGTTTTGTGCACTTTTTTTATTCTGATATTTACTGAAATTTTTTCAAAGCACTTTTTTATTGATTTACAACAAATTTGCGGTTATTGCTTTATATATGAGAAATTTTAGAGAATAAATATCAGTCGAAACTTCTATTTTCAGAAATAATTTTTTTTTCCATTTTTTGAAATTTGCTGCTCTTTTATTGAAATCTACAATTTTTATTGCTAATTGCTTTTAAATTTCGTAGAATTTACATTAAACGTTTTGTAAGGCATTAAAAGAACTTTGTCGAATATGCTCGTTATTGCAATCGAATTTGTTGATTGAAAACAAAAAAAAACAAATAAATGAGTAAATAATTTAGAATGAAATGAAATGCTACGAAATGGTTGAATTTAGCAAACAAATGTGTAGAAGAATCAATAAACTTATAGCGTAGTATAAACAATAATTAATATAATGCAGAAGCGTTAAGCTTACTTCATCATCTGTTATTTCACGGTTATCATAAATTTACGAGATAATAAGAAGTTCTTATCAGCTTATAGGATAATGTCACTTCTCTTCGAGTAGTTTGATCGAAATATGTAAATACGATTAAAATCATCCATCCTTCTATACAATGTGATTTTTTATATTCGTCATTTTTATTAAAATCCTTAATTTCCTTCTTTTTTTTTGCTCCCTTCCTTTTCCTTTGTATTTTCAGAATTTCAATGCATTTTATTCATTTGCCAATATTAATTTATTATCACTAACCATAATATTATCGGTGATTTTAACAAAGAATGTAATCAAAATTATATCAAATTCATTATCGATTGATTGCTACCATTCGATCTCTTGAATTTCGAGGAGGGAAAAAAACGATAATTATATTAATTACTGCTATTAAATGAATGGAATAGAGAAGTGATAGAGGTGAAAAAATCAAAATTAGTAATTGAAATTTTGATATTTATAACTTAGACTTCAATTTGCTGAACTTTTATGACTGTTTATTTTGATATGCATTAAATTAAGCCTTGTTTATAATTAATTGTTTCTTATTAGGCTTTGCAATCATTAAGAATTGATAAAAACTACGAAGTGTTATCATCATTTAGAAATAAATATTCAAAAAGTGTTGCTATTATTGTTTCAAATTTAATTTTATTTTGCATTACTTGATGAAAATAAATTAGTCATACTACATTTACATAGGATTTGGTGACAGATACCAATCATGCATATTACCCATACATATACACACACACATACACACAAAACACATACACACACGCACATGCACATACACACACACACACACATACATGCAGTTATATTTGTATATTATTATTTACAATTATTACATCAGATTTATTTGACGATTTATGCCGGCATATTTTCAAGCCGATGAATTTGTCGAAGAATTTCGAATGCTTTCCGATTAATTGCTATTCAATTTTTAATACATTTCGTTTAATCCATACCATATTGTTTAATTTTTTT